TTCCTTCCTCCAAATCAAAACCATCTGCCTAAAGAAAGCAAGGGAAGAAAGCAGAAACATGTAATGTATTTGTATATTTTTTTCCAACCCCAGGTGGTGTCAATCTAAGAAAAAGCCACAAAATAGACCATAAGTTACAAACATGTCCTTGCTATCATTACTCTTATTTTTTACCAAGCCTGCAGTTTATGTTTTCTGTATATAAAGAGTTGCTGATCAGCAACATTTGCAAGCTTCGCATAAATAAAAGAGTTATAAAAAATGTGATACAGCTTCTCTCTGTGTGGTGAAGAACACAATGCAAATCCCTTTTAGCATCCCACATGGTCTCTGAATGGAGAAACAATTTCTGTGGAAGAAATTTCTCTTGATTGTTTGCAGCCCACTTGTCAGGGAGTGTATGATTTGGAACATCTCCATACTGCAATTTATTCTTGCAGTTGTTTACTTCTCCAGAACTAAAGTTACTGGTTACTTGGCAGCCTATCAACAGCAGAATAAAATTTTAAAGAAATAAATTCATTGTCATTTATATTTCACTGTTTTCTTAAAGTTTCCTATCCTTCTATTCTTTAGAACATTCTTTTGAAAGAGTGTCTTTTGACTAGTTTAACATGGGGGAAAGAGTGGTGAATCCCAAATTAGTACTCAGCCTGTAGGTTAAAAATGCAAACGTATAAAATACTTGTCAAAATAACTGTAGGATTCAGATTATTTTTAATATTGGAAAATTGTTTGTCCAAGAGATTTGTGTCACACCAAATTTCAATGGAAGTTATATTATACTATAATGTATTGTAATATAATATAAAAGCAATAGTATTATTTAATATATAATAATATGAATGTTATTTAATAATCTAACTATATAATCTGAAATGTATTTTATTTTTTCTTACGCAAATCATTATGTCAAAACACACTGTCCTTTTCTTCTGCTTAGTGCTGTTCAGACAATGATCCTAAGCATGTCTGAAACAGTAGAGAAGGTTTGAGTGGTTTAAATGGGCTGTGGATCAGGCTGTTACAGGGAAGAAGTGCTTTTAAATTGTAAAAGAGTTTGAAAAGCTCAGCATTATTATGATTATAGCATTTCAATACAAGCCATGTGTGGACATGGAATGAAAATGCTTCTTGAAGTTAAACAATTAGCAGAGCTGTAGCTCATCTATGCTGCTAGGGCCCTGGACTTCTGACATGTTCTTCTTCAAGCATAGAGACTCATTTGTAATTCCCTTTCTGAAGTCTTTTAATGGGCTGTTGCTTTAATTCCTGGTAATGAATAATATAATCCAGGTTTTACTCACTGAGTTTAGTAGGTATGACAGTACTGTGTGTCTCAATTTTTTGGTACTGGCTATCCATAAATTGCTAGTTCAACATGGAATTGGTCTTTGTGTTTCTTAAAGCTTTTAAAAGTGGATTTTTTCTGATATGATTTAGACATTTTTTCACAGATTATCCTAATTAGTGGGAAGACAAGAAGTCTGTATGATTTAAGCATAGAATAAGTGACTGAGTTGAAGAAGGCAAAGAAGATAACCACATTATAAGCCTAAAAGAGGAGTTTGAAAGAGGAGGTGGAAACACTGCTGATGGGGAACTAAGATAAAGAACTCTATCAGTTAAAGCACTACTAGTTGGTGGCTCTGCATCCTCTAGTACATGTCAGCTAGGCAGCCTGACATTTCCATTTGAATAAAGAAGTTCAGAGGGAAATAGAAAGTAAAGTATACAGGACGTTAGCCTAGGGAAACAGTTCTGTTGATACTGTGGGTGATGTTAGGTAATGATATGGTAAAGAGAAACAAAGAGGCAGAGTCAATGCCAGAGACTTAGGGAACTGTGGGTAGGGGGAGCAGGGATGAAGACAGTGCTCAAAAAGAGTGATAAAAAGGTGTAGGAAGAGAAACATCAATGCATTTCTATAGAATTCTTACTGCATAGGGTTTTGTGAGCTTTGTGATTTGGAACTGGAGTAAGAATATGGAACACAGAACTATAAGTCTTTTAGAAAATATTAAGTGTTTAAAAGTGTATAAGAAGGAACATGAAAAATTTGTTCTAGACTCTTGGGGAATGAATGGGACTCTACAACAGTTATCGCTTTTGTTTTTAAAATGTAGTTTACTTTTACAGTTTGTGCTCATACAATTTTATTTCCTAAAGCATGTAAGATTTTGAAAGTTCCTAAAGATTTAGTTTAAAAGATAAAAATATCAATTACTTAGCTTAAATGTTTTGTTAAACACTTAATGTTTTCATCTGATTATACCTTGTTTAGAAGCATAATTTAGAGTAGAATAATAAGAAGCAAACCTAATGAAACAACAATATAAACAAACCAGTTAAAGAAAAAATAAGAATTAATATCCAGGAAAAAGTATTGAACTATATTCTTGTAGACATGATTTAATTTTTAATTTTAAGAGGCCAAAACCCAGTTGCTGGTTACATTGTAAATACATAGAGTATGTTGTGGGTCACAGACCTGGACTTTCTGGTGATCAGACTATGCGTTTTCATTTTTCCCAACTTAAATTTTTATCCTGTTTTGAATTTACATGGTGAGATTTCCTTTAAATTCTGCATGTTATGCAACAACCTCTTGCTTTAATGCTGTTTTAAAACAACTGTAGTTTGACACAGAGATAAATCGTTGTTTAAAGATGCTTTTCTCAATTTGATTTATTGCTGAGTAGCTGAAAAAGTTAATTTGGACACCTTTACCCAAATCACTTGAATCCCATGTAATAATTTATTTTTGTGAATACTGTCAAAGATGTACATTTATATTGCTGTTTGGATTATATGTTCATAACAAACCCCATGCTCCTTCTAACATACCAAAATGCTTTTACCATAAAGAACATCTGGGCCTATGTTTTGCTGCCATAAGGCATTTCATATCATTAAAATCATTGACTGGACATTATCCAAGGCATTTGATATAGTGGGCAGTAATGTAGCTGAAAAATATTTCAAAGCAGTAATAATTTGTTTATCTTATTGGACTGAATTCTTTGATAAGAATTTCTGAAATGCTGAAAATCTGGCTCATACTTAGCTGGTTGCCATTACACTGGCTCTAGGACTTTAGACAAGCAAGATAAGCAACGTAGATTAAAGCACTTGAGCCTTACCTGCAGTAATTTATGAGGATGTTCCTCGGGCATCCTTTCTACCACTTAATTGGGCCTGGCTGTGGCTCTGTTTCCTGCAGGATTAGTATTGTTTCTTTACACAGTGTAGACTGAGCTTCAGGAGAAGCTGGGGATATCAGAAAAAGACAACATGAAATATTTAAGAGATATATAGTTATCCAAGTCCTTTCTGATAGCTTTGCAAATCTCTACCAATAGTTAAAAAAAAAAACAACGAACTAACAAAAACTTCCTTATTATGTCAATATTTTGGCCTTCGCATCTGAACTCAATACTGTCTCACTCTCTGTTCTATAAGATGAAGACCATCATGGGGCTACCTAAACAGTGGAACTAATAATGTGTTTATTTTTTTACCAAGAATAAAATATATTTTTTAGACATGAACTAAATTACAAGATAAGTATTTCCATGATCTGAAAATCATGTGCTTTATTTAAGAAAATTAAAATCTCGGATCTCTCTGTCTTTTACTTGTTTCCTATTTGCTATCTAGTCAGGTAGACTCTGGTCCGTGTAAATGTGGTAATGTGAGAAAAATGAATATTATCACATTGTTTTTGCTAGTCTGCTGTAATTGACATGTTTCTTGCTAATTTTATATATACTGTATTATCATACATTTTTTGTGCTGTGTATAATTCTTGCAAATATGTATTTCTCAGTTCACATGATTATATAGCACAATATTCAATAAGGCCAAAGAGATAATTACACACAGTAATGTCCCACTGTGGTTGAAATTTTTGCTCTATTTTAATGTGATGTAATAAATAGGGAAGCAACTGTCTCATGTGAAGCCTTAGATATTTCAGGCTGCTTGCCTATGGTGGTTTCTTTAGTTTGCCTAGGAAGGTTTCATTGGGAATGACAGTCAAATCTCAAAGAAACTTTGTATGATGGCACAAATTATGGTACAGAGACCTGGGATTTCAACAGTATTCATTCAGAATATGCAGTATTTCCAGTCATAACAGCTAGCTTTGTATTTGCTCTCATGAATTATAGTGTTATTCCCGCTGATAGACACTAAGAGGCTTGATCCACTTACCTTAATATAGAAGTTTGATGCTAATCGAAAGACCTTACAGAGTCTCTGAGACATAAGCTTTACAAATATATGACATCCATGGACCCCAGGGCAGCAGCTGGAAGCTAGATGGGATTGCATGCACTTCTCAGATATCACTAGAAACTTCTGCTTAGCCAAATATATTGAGCTTTTGATGGTGGTCCTGTAGCACCTCTGACTTGGTTTCCTTCATACCTTCAACAGTAAAAGATCTCTGAATGTATCGGTAAAGTTTTTCTTCAGTTGTTGTCCTAAAGCACTGATGATCACTAAGAAATTGTTTCAGTATATGTTTCTTGTTATTATAATTTGCTTGTTAGTTACAGATTCAGAGAAGAAAAAAAAAAATTTTTTTAAATAATAAATTTTGACTGCCGATCAACTCATAAATGAGGTGAAAATATTTGAAACATTGTTAGAGAGACTGAAATAACAATAAAATGCAACCATTTCACTTGAGAATTTTCAGAAAGCGATCATTGAGAAACGTTATTTCTCAAGCTCTGTACAACCTTATTTCACCTTATGCCAAATGCGCTTGCCAAGAATTGATTGTATTATTTTTACATAGGATACTTGATTTACTGAGTACACAGTCACTTTTTTCTTTTTGACACTCCAGGAAACCCTGTGAAAATAAGCAATATTAATTGTCTAGTGACTTATTTCTTAAAAATTGATTCAAGTTTAAGAAGTTGCTTGTAAATTTTAAAGAGAGCTTTTGGTTTTACTCAGAAATCTGCATCTGTGTTTCTTTGTTTTAGATTGAGGAGGATACGTGGCAGAAGTACTACCTGGAAGGAGTTGCAAATGAAATGTATACAGAATATCTGTCTAGTGCCTTTGTGGGTTTGTCCTTCCCTGCAGTTTGTGAGTAAGTAGAAATACATATTAATATATATAAGTATTTGCCTTCTCTCAAGTGAAACCTAAGGTTTCTGCAGAAGACCTTTTCACTCTGCTACAGTCCTAATGTTGCTCCATCAGATGGGATCCAATAAAATAAACATTAAAGTAATCATTGCATGGAAGTATTCCAAACATTGTAATGACTGTTTTCAGAAGAGATTTAGAATTATGTGATTGTAAATGAAAGCATAAGTGTTTTCAGTGTTGAACAAATTCATCAGCAATCCATTTAAATTGAGTTATTTACTCATAAGTGCTGTCCTATTGTTTCTTCTGATGATTCCCGTTCTTTGAGTAGTGGTTGTCTACATCACAGTCTTGGCGTATGTCCCATTCCAAGGAAACTATTCATTAATTTAAACAGATGTAGTGGAGTCATATAAGCAGTGTGGCATCCAGAGCTCTGTGGAACTGGTTGCAAACACTTTTCACAAGTGAAATATGTCACAAAAAAAATATGTCTGTTCTGTAATGAGAAAGGAGTATTTGAAGCATATGGCTTATGCTAGCCATGCTACAACTTTATTTCTAGAGACTGAAAATCCTTATATTTGTCCCAGAATGATTTTGTGAATGAGAGATTTATATGCACAAGGTTTCTATGATAAATACTGAGGCCACAAATGTAGTCAGGATAGTTTAGCACCGTTCATGTTTCCTCCTCTGTTGGCATTGTTCTTCATTACAGCCATACCAAAAGATCACAACAAAGACTGTGGACAGCTTTTGCTAGGGACTATTTGAATGTTTGAAAAGAAACAGACCCTACTCTGAAGAGTTTGCTGTCTAGCTAGATAACATGGAAAAACTTCTGCAGACTCCATTCTTAGAGCAGAAAACAGAGCAAGAAGATAAAATCTCCTATGTAAAGGAGAATGATTTTGCTTCAAATCCTCTCACTTCTCCCACCGTTTCTGCTTTTCACAGTAGCGTAAACATAGGTTGTGGCATAAGTATGAGGGAGCAACAGCTCTTAGCCAAATATTATACATTTAAAAATCTGTCTTTTTCTGGAATGTAACTATGACAGGACAGAGGCCAGTCTTCAATTTGCTAGTAAATTAAAGGGGCTCACAATCCATCCCTCCACTGTGTTACCAGCTGTGACTAGGTTATTGAGAGAAAATGCTTATTACTATAATCACAAAACTTTGCCTGGGTATATTGAAGTAGAAATTATATTCAGAATTAATGGTAACTTATGCTGTTTACACTAACTAAAATCATGAAAACTAAATTTCCATGCCAGACCATTGTCAAACATAGTTGAGTTTCTATGTGAGTTCTTAGAAACATGTGACTGAGACTGTATTTGACATAGAGCTGACATTCATGTAACTGTGCTGGTAGAGTTGAGATTAAATAATCAACAAAGAAAGGGCATTTACTGAGATTTCGAAACAAGTCTAAACTTTGGATCTCTCCTCAAACATTTCATTATCTGGAGGCTTAATTAACTGTGTTTCTTAGTTTAAATTTAAAAATTAAGACGTATCTCAAATTTTCCAAGAGTTTAATAACTCTGTTAAATTCAGGTTAATTAAAGCACCTTGAAAATTAAAATGTAGCGTTGCATATTAATGAGTCTGGTGCATAGGTGTGTTCATTACTTTAAAAATTGGCTATTCAATTTCCAGAAGAACTGAAGGACAGTAAAAAGTCCATTGCATTTTTTTGTGAAAGGGAAATAAAACCAGTGGACAGGCTAGTGTGATCAACTATGCCCAAAATATATAGACTTTGAGAACATTTTTTTGTAATTTAGCTTATAAATTAATGCAGTCAATGACATTTTAAAACACTGAAACTAAATGACATGTGCTGCTTCCTCTGCTTATTGGTCTTGATTGCCAGTCTACAAATGTGATTCTTTGGTAAATAGGCTGCCATGCAATCTGGATAACAAACATAAAGAGAGTGCAGAAACATCTCCTCTTTCAGTGGGGATGGGACACTCAATATTTTTGAAGAATTTCAACCTCTTGATGTCAACATCAAGGTGAAGAATTGAATCGAAATAGAAGTTAACATCAGTCTGCACATAACTCTGATTATATGTGTGTGTATTGTGTGAGTATATTCCCAACAATGTATTTCCAGTACTTGAATGTAATTCCTATCCTTCTGTGCACTTGGATATTGTTGGACCAGGTGTGGATGATGCTGACTGCAGAGTAAACTATCCAAACTGTCCCCTCACTAGTGCACAGTCTTCTACTGGGCCTTCTAATATTTACTAATACATGGCTAATCTTTGCCCAGGTTCTAAGCCCAACATTCTCCACTCAAAAATTTTCCTAGTGAGGCTAGCACATCTATGGTTTCACACTTGACCTAGCAGTGGAAACAGCATATGAAGGTTGCCTACTTCTCTTAATATATGTTAAATTGGGCCCATTTGCTGTTGGTTCTGTTTTTGAAGTCACTCATTCAATCAAATGTCATAGCCATGTTTTAATAAAAGCCAAAGTTTTAGAGATGTCATTATGTCTGTATTTGTGCAACATATTGTTGCATGGTTTATAACTATGGCATATATTCCCACATTACTCATGAAGTTTTTTGAATGTTTTTATAACAGACCATTTGGGGAGCTAATCACAGAAGTCTTAGGAACTCTACTGTTCTGACAAAGGAGAACTAAGTTAGGCAAGTAGGCAACACTCAGCACTGGTCTGCATTCTCTCCTAGCTCCACAACAGATTATTTATTTTCTGGATATATTCATGGTAGTAACCCTTCGTAGTCTGAGAGTGACTCCAAATTAAGCTAGTCTTTCACAGAGCAAGGACAGCATGGACTATCTGTAACTGTCAAGTTCTTGCTTCTGTCTTTGGATTATTCTCTTCAACTAGATTTCTGACTTGTCTCCAAGGGTGAGATAAATCTGAGGCACTTTTGGACTCTTGAGACAGGCTACACATAATAGGACCAGTACAGATTTCTTCCTCTCAGAAGCAGAGATGCTGGATCAGTCCATACCTGTTAAATTAAGAGCTTTTTCCTGAACCTATGATTTTATTCAACATTGCAGATGTGTGTCAAATTTTAGACTCAACAAACATAAGCTCAGCTTAGGTAGTGGCCAGGCCACAAGGCAGCCTCTAGACTGTCATGACTGTATGAATGAAGCTTTCCATCTTCTGAATTAAAATTAAATTATTATTGGATTATAATTAAAATTGGACTCCACCTGATTCTGCCTGAGACTTCTATATTTTACACTTTCCTCCAAGCACTCTCAGAGACTCTCCTCTGGGTCCCCCCCCCAGCAAAAGGTTGGCCACCCCCACTGCCTCTACCCAGCCAATAAATATGTACTGGACTCCTCAGGCACACCTGTGAGATAGAAAGAGCCAATGCATGAAAACAGATGTTGTAAGGTCCCACTGTGCTCTCTAATTTCATCTCAGTGGACAGCAACTTTTTCACAAGTATGAAAAGGCTGCTTCAATAGAAAAGTGTCATAGATCATCACAAGAGGACTTACAGCTTCCCACAGTTTGTTCTTCTTCAGTGTGTTTAAAGTATGGAGGCTTATGGTACCGTTACCAGTGCTTACACCATGGTTTTGGATAACCTGAATTTTACTACATTTGGTGCAAACATTAATTAGTAGGTTAACAATTACTGGACAAGTTTGGTTTATTAATTCAAAACTCTTTATATGTGGCAGCTGTATTTCCTGTTCATACCTAGAAAACTATCACTACCCATGTTTATAATGGAAGCCTGATTTCTTTGTGCTTAAAACCTTCAGTAGAGCTCTTATAGGAACAATATCCTTATTTAGTCTTCTTATTCCAACATGATCAGCTTTAATGGGAACCAGAAAGAACAGTGGAATGAAAGTTTTGTTTAGCAGGGTAAGAGTTCACAAAAGTAATGAAAGACCAATATTTATGAAACTACTTAGGCAAGTATGGATTGGAGTAGGATGTACTCCACCACACTTCACAGCACTTCAGTTGTATTTCACATCAGCAACCATCTTGTAAATCGAGATAATATTTGATGTGGGAATACAGAGAAAAAGCAATGTAGAGTTCTGCATTGACATTTCTTACCTTCAGTGTCTTCCTAATAGACTGACAGGTCAGCAACCAAAAACTGTTAAATATTCAGCTCACGTTCTCACTACCATCCTAATAATGATAATGGTATCCAGTACAGTAATTAGCAAATTTATTTGCTCATCTGCACTTGGTCTTGTCAGCAGCCTGTCACATCCCGCTCAGACAAGGGGGACAAGTGACTTAAATTCGCAAATCCTAAATTAGAGCAGACAACAAGTCTCCAAGTTCAAGCATTTATTAACTACCTACAATGGACTAATTGAACACACGATAATTGGCTAAGTATATAGCAAGTTGTGGCGAGCAACATAATATGCCTTGCATTTCTTAATGGAAAAAGGAAAAGAGGGAGATAGAGGGAATGGGGGAATACAGATCACCGGTCTGGGTTCCTGCACTGATCCCGCCGGCGAGGGTTCCAGGAGGTGGCTGTCTTTTTCGCTGGCATCCATCTTCTTCGCTTCACTGCTCTCTCCAGACAGCCGGGGGGCAGAGGGGGGGCAGGGAGAAGGGCAGAGAGTGCGAGCCCTTTCTTCCCCCCTTTGATTTATACCCACTTTCCTTGGGTCTGTCCCCGAGGTCGACCCACAGACCTATGTATCCCATGTACAGGGAGGGGTAAGGTGTTTCATGGGATGATGTAATTAGCATGATCATGACAGCCCTCGTTAGCATATTGAGGGGTGTTAACTTCAATATGCATTTCGTGAATAATGAAGCAAAGTTCATTCACGGGACACACGGCCCTTGAAATTTGCCCAGGTGCCCCAGAGGAGAGCCGTCCTGTCTCCACAGGGCTCTCTCCCCCAGATACATCAGGCAGCGTTATCCGCTTCAGCCTCCACAGAATGCACCCTGTGACTCATAGTTTTGTCTTGCGAGTGTTTGAGGCATTTCTTCAATCAGCCTCAACTTTTGCTTTCCCAGGCTGTTTGTCTTAGTTTCTCACAGGCCTGGTTTCTTGTCTCACACAGCCACTGACTTGATCTGGTACAAATAATTAATTTATATGAAGTACTGTATATAGAGAGTAATATACGTCATTATGAGTGTTGTATGTCATGTTAACATGAGTGACAAAAGTCGCTCCACACACTCTTATATTATTTATATAGTGACTCATGAACCCACTAGAAAAGAGCATGATCTTTGACAAGGTTCGCCCATATTCTCTGTATGCTTTTGTATTAAAGTGTACACTTGTAATCTCTACTCCTGGATATCTACTTTTCCTGCTAACATGAATTTCTCGTTAGCCTAGTAGTGTTACAGTCTGGGAGGTATTTTTTCCACTGTGATAGATTTAAAGAGTACTTTCACTTTTTTGACTGATTTATGCAAAACTTAGCCCACATAGTATGTTTTTTTTTATTATTTTAACTTAGTTGTTTACAATTCAATCTTACAGAATTTAATAGAAGGCTTTTTCCTTTTGATCTTTGGATGACCCCAGAAGATCTCTCCTAAGAAAAAGAAAAAATGCCTTGTCCACAGCCATATATAAATGATATTCAACAAAAATATTGCTAAAAAATTTGTTAGGTCTGTAGAATAGGTGCTTAAAGACCCCTATCAAATGCTCAGCTTCTGCACATGCCAGGGCTGATAGCTTGCCCCCCACACCCATCTATTACCCTGTTGGAGACAGGAAGCTAGTCAACTGTAACCTTCAACCAGATCATTTAAAGGTTGAGGGACAATAGCCTTTTCCAGATACTTCCCATGATGAACCTTCAAGGATAAAATAGCCTCATATTGTGATTTAACAAAGCAAAAGAGATCAAAACTTCTATATATTGTATTCAGATACATTTAGAATGTTGCCATGCAGGAGCTTTAGGCATCGTTTGTATGTAAAACTTTTCAAATCTCTCTCCAGTACATCTATTGGTTCCTGACTGACTAAAGAAACTAAAGAGTGCATTCCGACAGTAAGCATGAACAATGTTTTTCATGCACTGAATCTGGCCATGAGTATTGCTTTGTAGCCAGTGATTCATAACTTGCAAAATATAAAATATAATTGTGTTTCATTTTCTTGGTCAGATGGAATTAGACCAGAAACTATATGTAGTATCTCTGTGTCTCTTCAGGGCTGAGATTACAGTTAAAATTCTAATCTGATGTGGAACTGCCTGCTTAACCAAATCCTGTCTCGTAAACTAAACTCCTCACTGTCATTGTTCACTTTTCATTAAATTAATGATTCCATGATTTTAGTGGTTATTTCTGCTCCATGTCAATGTAAGAAATATAGCAATCACAGATCTTGAAACACCTGCATGATTACACATACACATGGCACGGCTATATTTTTTTCTTTCTTCTGTATTTCTGATCTGGCCTGTTAGGGTTTCTTAACCTTTCACAGAATGCTTGAAGTTTTTACTGTCTTTCTGAGGTGTAAATAATGAGTCAACAGTCATGTAAGATAAACAGTATTGTAAGTGGAAATAACCGTGATAGTAGTTAAGTACTCTTACTTTTTGAGCAAATTTTCCAGTACTGGTAACACCACCACCAGTGCCTTCTGTATTATGCATGTGATAGATTTCAGCTAGTGGCTTTCTATTTCTTAGCATCTCTTAATTTCTAGTTCCCCCTTGAATTTCTGTCATAATCTGTCCTGTAGCATACTTAAGATCCAGCAATTCTACTGCAATAGTAGAAATGCATGTAATGATCTAGTAAGACACCTGTAAAATACATCTCAAAAATTTTAGCAAGACCTCTTGATAACAAACTTGGCATTTTACACTTGATCAGAGAACCACTTACATCAGTGCTTACTTTTAAATTTTTTAATAGTTACATGAAATTCTGCTATTGGAGTAGTTGGTTAAATTTTTTTCCTTGCCTGACCAATACGTGAGTGCTGAGCACCTGGAAGAACCCAGATGTGGGTTAAAAGCAGAAGGTTCCTATGCTTTTGACATTTTGACATGACTGGAAATTAGCTAAGCCTCACATTAACAAACATTTAAAAGAGATATGTGGGTTATTATATATCTATATATTATGATAATTTCTGTTCCAACATACAAACCTAATTGACTGCACTGGTTTTAGACACTGCTGCTCCATAAAAGTACCTGATATTCTCATACTTCCAGCTCATAAGAAACACAGATACTAACAAGCACCAAAGAAACCATTAGATACAATGTGCATAAAAAATAGTTTGAAAAGAAGACAAAAATAATATATTTATGAAATAATTCTGATATTGTAATTTGCTTATCTTAAGATACTACTTTTTTTATCAGGAATTATATTCTTCCATGTATTTTCCATTAGGTAGATAACAATATGATCTATCCTATATCAAAATACTTTTGCTAACTGCAACTGAACTGTACTGTATGGAAGTAGTTGCAAATATGAGACTACCTATTCCTTTGTCAAATGTAGTTCAGTGAAAAATGTTCTAGCTGACCCTGAGGAAAAAAGTGAATTATTTATGGTGTACAAAATTTCAGTAAAAAAAATTTCTTTGAAAAGAGAAAACATTCTTCCAGTAGATTTCTAATTAATGTTCTTTTGTTAGTTTGGTACAAAAATTAATAATTAATAAATAATTAAGGTAGTAACTGCTCAGAAAGAATGATAATTTCTTTAAATTCTAAATATCCCAGTACTTTCACATGCAAATAATACAGCAGGTATCTATGGTTAATTTATGCCAAGAGTAGTCTTACCAGTAAAGAAGGAGGATTTAATGTCAAAAACAATTTATTTCTCTCTGGCTAGACAGAAACAGATTCAGATTCTTAAGAGCCTTTGTTCATGACCACCTGTGTTCATCAGTAGTTCACAGGTGATGCTGGCAGTTGAAAATAAAAATAGAAATTAATGCCTCGGATACTGTCATTGACAATTCTTGTGGACTTCTATGTAATAATTTGAGATAAAAAGTATTCTCACTTTTTATTACAAGATTCTTTATGTTTCTGTGGAAAAAAAGCAGGTGTAAGATCTTTCTCATTTTAATCATATTGAAGTACATTTGCACAATACAATTTAAATGGTAAATGTATTAATCCTAATTTTAACTACATGGCCAAGTGCATGTAAACCTATTTTACTACTTAAATATTTTTAGTAAATCTGTATATGAGAATGAGGTACTGATGCCAGATATTAGGGTAGTATTATGCTTATCTCTTCTTTTTTTAATATATTTTCTTCTTTTGATGCTGATAGTCAGGCTTCATTTACCTGTTAATATTGTGGGAGGTGATGGGCTAATCAAGAATTCAGTAACTCAGGATTTTGTCTGCCCATTTCTGACATTGGCTGGAATCCTGGAGGTAGAATAAGACTTCTAATTAATTCTGAAAAAAAGTTAAATGAATTTTGCCCCTGGCTTCCTTTCTGTGTTACTTCCCAATACTGAGATACCACCTGCCTTACCAGATAAGACTACAGTGGTACTTTTACAATCCTTTAAAAGGAAAATTTCTGAAGAAAAAATATGCTAGAAAAAATATGCTCAAGTTTTACATTGTGAAATTTAAGACAATGCAAAGGAAATGTTATTATATATATCCTTATGTGATATTCAGCCTATTGCCTTAGCACTGTCAGAATCCCTACATCCATGCTTATCTCTAATTATTCTCTTATCCTGAAGAAATAGCAGAAATTAACTGTTCACAGTGATTTCTGAAACATTTTATAGAAATGGAATATTATTAGTTCAGCAGCCACTTCTATGTTTTCTGTTAAGTGTGTGACTGATGAAAAGTATGCAAAATATTGCTTGATTGGCTTAAGGAAAAAAAAAATAATTGAAATATATACAAAAATATTAGTAACACTGAAGTAAGGAAGTTTGTGAAGAGCACTGAATGCTGGAAAAGTTAGTGCATGATATAGAAGATGGCAGCCATCTAGTTGAAAGGTGAGCCCTAGAATAATACGTGACAAATTTGTTGAAGAGACAAGGAGCATTGAATTTGCATATATCACTTCACTGATAAAATTGGCAAATGGTTTCTAGTTATTTAAAAAACCCTATGTATTATAGTATTAGAAAATACTTTCTATACCTCGATCAATAATTGCTTCTAGTCATGCTGTTCCTCTGTGACATTTATCGGCAAATATTGACATTAATAGGGTACTCTCATTTGAGTTCACTACATACGTGTTTTCTAATGAATGCACACTATGATCAACATATGGCTGAATTCCAGCAAAGGTTTGAAAAATTTCCTCAAGACATCCACTATAGCCAAATTAAATCTTATGTTGTGTATCATAACCTTTGTTACTATTGCTTAAGTAGACTTAGTAACATAGTGAGTTGGTACTTTTGCTACTGTTCTCAACTTGTCAGTTTATATATATATAGGAAAATATTCATTATGTTCAAAAAAGAAAAATCTTAATATATGTTCTGTGTATACCTAACTGAAAAGATGGGAAAAGATCTTAGTGTAAATTCTCAAAGAAAATACATACCCCGCAGCCATCTCTACCTGTGTGATGTTACTTGTGAAAAAGGACTGACTTTTGGCCTCTTCTTTTCCTGCAGACTGGTGTTTGCGAAACTAAAGCTCTTAATGATAGCCATAGAATACAAGTCGGAAAAACGAGAAAGCAGGTATGTCCAATGCCTACAAATTTTCAAGTTCTGGAATGCACTGTCAGAAATTTTGCCTGCTTTTCTTCCAGAGTGAATATAGCTATTCTTATACTTTTGAAACATTTCAGAGTATAATTAGCACGCCATCACATTACACCATTTCATATAGGCTTTTATTTCTCTCCTGTTCTTCGTCAGAACACTTAGCAGAAGGTGGGCGGACAGAGATGCATATGTGCCATCTCCAGAAGTACAATTAATTTTTACTTAAACAAAAACTTACAATATTTTTGTTCATAGTCTATCAGTTTTAAATGGAGATACAACTTTTTTTACTGAAAATGGAAAAGTGGAAAACAGATGTGATATGAAAACTTGTTATGGCTACATGTTTTCTCAAAATAGTAATTTCATTTAAATGAATTTGGAAGAACCAGTTTAGATAATGTAGGGGATAAGTAAATATAGGATAAGTGTAGGTTTTATATGATATCTGCTCTGACAGAACTTACATATATGAATAACATAATAAAACTGGAAAAGATTAATTTAGCCTTGAAGTTACCAACTGGCTGACACCTTTCCTCAAGCAAAGAAAAAAAAAAATTAGTACAGATTCACAGACAGGAAAATAAGCATTTCTTGTGGAGTTTTTGTAGAAAAGTTCATAAAATCCAAGTGAACTTTGGAGTCAGTCTTCTATCAACTTGTCCATTAATGCTTTACACGACATTCATTTTTGTATAACAAAAATGTTATAAATGGGCTCTGCAACATGTGGAGGGGCATATAATAAAAATATGACAATACTGACTCTGAGCTGAATTGTATTTTTGTCTGTGAAAAATTATATTCTGTACTGCTTTAGTAAATTTGGAACAATAGATATTGGTTCATCTTATTTGTGGCCTCTAATTACCTAAAACCTTAGTGAGCAATTGTTTCTCCTCACAGGTGAACCAATTCTGTCGTTTGAGTTCATGCCACAATTTCTGATGTTTTGAAAGTTTGTTTTACTGTTTATTATTAAATGTTGTAAGTTTTATTTATTGAAAATACCTATAAAATCTATGTGGGGCACTTGACACAGAAAATACAATGTTATAACTGGTTTTAAGAGTATTTCCATGCCTGATGGTTGGTTTTACTTGATTCTTTTCTGTGTTCTAAAGTGATACATTAAGTGGTGTATGTGCTATTGGATATTGGTTTTGTCCACACTATGATGATTAAGAAATAGGTTTTTTTGAAATATCAGATTGTTTTTAATGATTCCAACTCCCATGGGCTCTTAAAATACTTTTCCATTGAATGATCTCATTCCCTATTAGCTAGTATAAATCAAATGATTTATTATTCCTTTCTGTTTGAACAGTTTAATCTCTTCCTAGAAAAAAAGAAAATATGATAGTAACAGCAGTAGAACTGTTTACCAGTTTTTGTATTTCCAATATTAGAAAATATTTGGAGTTTGTTGATTCTCTGAAGAATTGTTGCCCAACATTAGGTTGTCATTACTTCAATTTATCTAAGTAAAATTTACTTCGTGCTAATATTACAGTCTTTTTCGGTAATAACATATAATTGATGGCTTCTATATCATTCTTTGCACTAACTTCAGTGGGAGTTGAATTGAGTTCTTAATCAAAAGGTGATGCAGAGGATCCCACAAAAAGTAACACAATGTGATACAATCATATATCCGTTCTTAATTAAAGCCATGCAGGTAACAGTTCACAATTAATTAATTTGGTAGGAAAAAAAAAAGAGCCTAAAAAATGTAGAAAACAATACTAACAAAGGGATGCTAACAGCTGAATTTTATGAATACATGCGTACACAAGAGGAGAGCATGTAAGCTAGATACGCACATTTTCTTTATAAACCTGATCCACAGTAATATCTGCTGACTTCATTAACCAGTGATAATTTTATAGTCACTATTAAGTTAATCACAAGCTACTTGCAGTGTATCTTTACTGTTCTACCTGTTCCTGTGTTCTTCAATCCAAATATGTTAAGTACATATTTGTGGTTTTCTGAGCTGGTGCCTTTCAGTCTAACCAGAAAGGTAATGGAACAAAACCTCAGCTTCTCACTTCTTAGGCATACTTGCATTTCCTTGCATCTTACTAAATGAAAAGATGGGCAATTAAGATAAAAATTAGAGTAACATGGTTTACAAGTGCAAGCTGGTTTTGAACAAGATAAATTTGTCATTTACAGTTATGGTTGTTGATGTTGACTTCAGAAATATTTTATTCTACTTCATATCTCAAGTTCTTCATTACTATTTCTTCATAAAGGAGAAGAGGGACCTGATTATCATTCTTTTTTAGCTTTCACTCATTATGAGAGTGAACAACAGTAGATCTGTGCTGATTCATTTTATGATTATAGTTTAGATTCATATTCTGGAAAAATATTGAGAGGATTTACACAGTTCACAGTTTAGAAAAACAATGATAAATATAAAGAAAAGTTTGGTGCCATCTAGGTGGCACCCTTTTATTATGAGCTAGTATTTCCTGCCCTAGGTGAGAGAGGTCTAGGACCAGTATTTTCAGGAGCAGAGGAAATTTTCAAACCATTCTTTCTGCTTAAGAGATAAGATCTTAATCCCACCTGTTTAGGTTTTTTTTTTAATTAGTCAGAATATCTATATATGTGAATTATATATCTGATTTGTTACTTACACAGGGAGTTTCCTTTAAGATTAGCTTCATCTGCTTTCATCACTGTGCATTCAGAGCTAAAGCAGTGCAAAGTGAATTTACAAGTGTGTACAGCTCTCAAAAGTGGTAATGTGAGGACGTTCTAGATTTCCTAATTCCCTCTTTAAATTTTCACCTCAGGGTTAGGGATAAATCCTAGTACCATTTTAAGTCAATGGCAAAATTTTCATTGACTTTTTGTTAATGTCTTCATTATGTATGGGATGGCATAAATATACATTTACCTGTGCACTTTTTTTTTTCCCCCCAGGCATTCTCCTAGATGCTGGTTTTCCAAAGCTTTCTGATGTACAACCAAATTCTGTTAATTCTACCATAGGAAATTTGAGATCAATAGTAATTATAAATCATCAGAACTCTATCCAAGCTAATATAAACATACAAGTTTATTATTTTACAAGTTTGCTTAAAAGCAGAATTAAAAAATTTTCAAGCCTAAATGTAGGCAGTATAGTCATGAATGCAATAAATACATACTCACTTTCAAGTAATGGGTAAAGTATTTATAGTCTGTTTATCTTTTTAGTCAACTGTTTCTCATCAAGGTATCTTAAAGATTAATTAAAATAGCCATGAATAGATTATTTGGTTTTTACCTTTACTTTTATATATTTAATGATGTTTAAATCACTGCTCAGTTATCAAAGAAATCTCTGAGTTTACAAAATGTGACTGAATTTAGTGGGTTTCTGACCAGTTACTAAGGTCTGCGCTTTAGTAGTTCCAGGTCAGAATATGAGTTAGCCATTCTTTCATCTCTAATTAGTATCTGAAATATCATAATGAGTTATTAAGAGCAGGAAGCATTTAAATAAGTTTTTGTATCTCTGATGCAAGCCAAATACTTCAGCTTAATAAAATGGTCTATCTTAGTTCATTTGTAGATAGGTTTTGTCTTTTCTGTAGAAAAATTGCTAAAGGAGCTTGGAGAACATCAACGTGAAAATGTCCCAGCAGAGCTTGCTGAATAGATAGCAAAAACTAGTTAAAAATGCAGACATTCAAACTCCTCATCTGAAATCTTTTTAGAGATAATTTTGCCTTCCTTTTCCCCTGTATTTTTTTTTCCACATGAGTAAGCAAGAAGGAAAGCCTAACCAGTATTCTTCCCTCCTGCACCCCACGTTTAGTCCTCTTGTTAAATTTCTCTTTGTCTATCCATATATTTGTTCTCATTCTTAGCAGAAAAACCTTTGAGCCTTGAAACTTTTTAAATAAAGGGTTTTTTTTGCTTTTGCTTTGGTGTCAGTTGATTTCTTATCAAAGTGTTTGATTTGCAATTTTTTTCTTGTCGTTTGCAGAAGCCGAAAGCGGTATGCCCTCTTCGTTACCTTTCCTTCCAACCTCAATCCTACCTCCACTCCTTCTAACTTCAGGACTAATTCCTTGCCAAGAACACAGGAAGATAACATCTTTGTCTATCTTTCTCTGTATATACACACACATATATACATATATACATATATACATATTAATCTCTGTGTGTGTGTGTGTATATATATATATCTGTGTGTATATTTATATATGAGCCCCCACTCTCAAAGAGGAGAGAGAATAGCATTCTGTCTCTCCACTGGTTCTTGTGACTCACGCACTAACTTCTTTGCAGGAAGTACAAAATAAAACAGTATAAGTTTTTTAGGCTTTTTCTTTTCCCCTTGGGGAGTCATTGGTGTATCAGATTGTTGCATTTGAAAAGCAGACTTTACTGTTAACATCTCCTCTCCTCTTTTTTTATTTGCACTGTATCGTGATGATGTATATTTCGTCTCTACCAGCCCTTGTGCTGCCATATTGTCTCCATATTCACACCTTCATTGATGTCCTTCTTTCCTCAGAGTCTTCCTTCAAAATGTGTCTTACAATACAGTAGTTCATGTACAATAGTTTCACCTTCCATTAATAACAATCAAATACCTGATTCTTTACATTGCTGGTTCTATTTTAAGCCAAGTTATTCACAGTACAGTACTCATTAAAGCTATTGTACTGTTCCAGTGAAAGTGTCATGGATAGTTTGTACTATATGTCACATTCATTTTAATGACATTTATTAAGCTCATTTATGAAGATATTACCAAATGTATTTGTTTCTCAATTTGGGTCTTTCTTTGGGATGGCATGCTTTGCATTTTCTTCTGGCATACCATGCTGTGAGCCCCTCTCTAGTCTACATTCTATCTTCCTGCTGTTGGTTTGGATGCAGTAAATAAGGCATGCTCTTCCATATCCTCTCCTCTGATCATCTCTCTTCCCCCTCCCAGCTTTGTTTTTCTAATTGCT